ATGTGAGGAATATGTCAGTTATTTGAGTGGTGTAGTTGTGATCGGATATGGGGACTCTAGTATTCTAGGGATTTGTAGACTATAAGGGTTCTCAAGGCAGAGTGTTCCATGGTTATGAACGGTGAAGGTATGTTAATAGGTTAGAAACCGATGGTATGTACTATAGATATGTTAATGTGGGCTTTTTGGAGGCAATCTACCTACTTCGGAAGGATCAGAATATTTGGAGGCTACTAGTAGGTCTAATAAGGATGTGTGTTCTAAATCAGGTCAGATTTATCTACTCAGCACATTTATCATGGAGGGGTATATTATCGGTTAGGGTGGATCACATTCATGTTCTGATATGTCTCATGTGTTACTCTTTTATGCTGCAATAGGTTATGATCTATTGGTTAACTGCACAATGCTACGGTTATGTTTGGGCTTTGTAGTGAAATTCGAGCGAGATTGCTCTTGGGATGGTGAATGGCTGATTGTGCCTCGGTTATGGTCTTCCTGTTACTGGTATATAGTGATATCCATATCTCCATAGTTATGGTCACACGCTTCGTGTGTTTGATGTTGATATGTTTATGGTTGTTGATTGTGAGTATCATGGCTCGACGTATTCCAGGTGGACCGGTGTCGGATTGGGTCATGCATCACAATAGCGTTATGGTAGGATATGATCATTTATGCTTATTTCGTGTGTTATGTTTCTCCTTGTGGTGGATTGATAGAATTGCACTTCGTGGTGGTACCTGTTGAGCTGGCAGGGTGGTTTCTTCATTTCCATTCTCTTTGCATCATTGGGTATATTTGAGTTATTGTTCGTTAGTGCACGAATTGCATGGAATGTGGCTCTAAGTAGGATTTGTATGACAGGTCGGTCGAGTAGCTTGTACTGGATGAGATGAGGTTATTGGGCCTGAAATGAGTGTCATCGGATTTGATTAAGGTATGTTTGAAAGAATTGTGTCACTAGTCGGCTAAGATTTTGGCTATGGTTCTTATCGGGCAATAGAGCTCCACGACGTGTTAATCTGATGGGTGGTTATGAGTTTCTATATGTTTCTTTCAAGTTAGCCACATGTATTGACAATTTTGGGGTGGTTTGGGACAAATTCTAGACCCTTTTTAGCTGCTGATTTTTTGGCTACAGGGGACTGAATCACGATCCCGAACCTCTGGGTCACGTTCGCGAAGAGCAAATTGCTATTTGGGCCTTGTGAATCGCGATCACAGAATCTTTTCTCGCGATCGCGTAGAAGAATTTTTGTTGTCACATGATAGACGTTAGAAGCTTATATCTTGTATTTAGTTTTAGCCCTTTGTATCTAGTTTTCATAATATCAAACTATTTATCATTTAGAGTTTTGTACACAAAGTTATGGCCATTATACTACAGGCTGTATGGGAGAGTTGGGCAAGCTTGTTGGAATTTGTTCATCGTGATGGCGGGGCCCCCGCCATGGCCGCGATCGTGAAGGCTAAAAATTGTTCTGGAAACTTTTTTGAATCATGATCACAAGGTTGGTGACCGCGAGCACGAAGAAGGGCCCCTAGCAGTGCATTAAAATATCAAATTTCGAGATTTTGAGTTGGAGCAAAAGTAAGGCTATTTTGGAGGTGATAAACACCTAAATATTGAGGGTAATTAATTTTTATCTTTGATTTGATTATATATTTTATTTTTTCATGGATTATTACACCAAAATTAAGAATTTGAAGAGAGAAATTAGGGGTCTTTGTCTAATCTTTCCTAAACTGAATATATGGGATTTGAATATCGATTCGGAGTCGGATTTAAGTGAAATTAGTATGGTTGGACTCATAATTGAACGAGTTGTCGAAATTTGTGAGTTTTGCAAATTCCGAGGTATGAGCCTGGGTATAACTTTTTGGTTGACTTTGAGTATTTGGTTAAAAATTCGACCTTTATTACTTGGGATTGTTTCCTAAGGCATTATTTGATGTTTTTGAGCTGCATTTGGCTAGTTTCGAGCTGTTCGTAGATTAATACGCGTTGGATGGCATTCCTAGTGTTGTGTTTCGCTTGCTCGGTATTTGTTTTGGCATGTTGAGGTAAGTAGCTTATCTAAACTTGGTTAAGGCACTAGTTGCCTGAATTATTTGTTATAGCTATGTGCTATGGGTGATCATATGTGTGAGGTTTGAGCCTATGTGCAAGCACCAGGGTATTCATCCATGTTTGGGGTAGTGATTAGGATATAATATGCCTACAATTGGCTGTTACTCTTTACGATATGATGTTTCTCATACTTGTAACCTTGTTTTGAACTATTTGATCCATGTTTGGGGATTACATATAGGCTAATTCCCTGAATGAACTTGATAATTGATATTTTCATGATGAATTTGTCGATTTGAGCTATGATAGCACACTTTGCAAATGCCTACTCTTTAGCATATCATCATACCAGTCCAGGAGCATGAAATTCGATAATCATTCATTATATACATGTATTCTTGTATAATTGCTTCTATATGATATGATGTAGACTGGATGCATATGATCATGCTGGGCGAATTGTGTTGTTATGCCTATGAACACACCAGGAGGATTGAGTGGTTATGCTTGTGACCACGCCGGGTAGATTGTGATATATCCTATGACAATATCGGGTGGATTTTGATATAGCTTGTGACCACGCCGAGCGGATTATGATATTGAGCATGTGACCACATCAGGTGGATTATGATATTGAGCTTGTGACCACGTTGGGCTGGTAGCACGTTGAATTGGCAGTGCTTGCATGTGGATACGGATCCATCCTCTTAGGGTCACCCTCTTGTGTTTCTCTGTTGATGGTGTACGTGCGGATTGTGAAAAACCAATGGGTTTCTGATTGATGTGAGCTTTGGTAGAGCTGGTTACCATTATTTGGATCGGGTTGCACGCCGTAACAGACTGATATATGGTTATTGCACTTCAGCTTTACTTGCAATTTCCTTGACTATTTACCTGATTTACTTGCATATCTTCTTTATATGTTATTGTTGACTGAGAAGAATATTTTAAAACAAAGAATTGTGAGTTCCAAGGTTGTTTCACCCGAGATTTTTCTTGATTTGATCATATGTCTGTTCTATACTGGTTGAATTTATGAATTATAGAGGCACATCGAGTGTCATTTATAGTTCTTACTTCTAATACCTCACCGAGGTTAGTTATGATACTTATTGAGTGCATGGGGTCGGTTGTACTCATACTATACTTCTGCACCTTGCGTGCAGATCTTGAAGCCAATGTTGCTGCATCTGGCGAGAGCTGGCATCAGAAGCGTACATGATTTTCGGGCATAACTATCACTTGTCCTTGGTAGTTTTAAAGTTGTAATCTGTTATGTATATTTCAAACATATGTTGTAAATATAATTTTGTACCAACTTTGTAAATTTAAAGTCTTAGTGGCTCGTGACTTGTACTACCAGTCCTTGGGTTATTGTATAAACTTTCAGTTGTTTTATTTACTGGTCCCTTAATATTCTCAATTTAATTGTGTTTACCGTTAGTTGGATTACCTAGCGGGTTGGGTTAGGTGCCATCACGACTAGTGGATTTTGGGCCGTGACATTGCAGGTGCGACTAGTCTGTCATCAATTAGGCTCTTGCAGGCTTTGAGGTTTGTTCCCAAGTATTCTCCTTTGCATCACAGCATTGCCATTTCACCAAGAACTCTTGGTGATCTTTCCTTGAGGCGTGAATCACTCAATCATCAAGAATAGCTTTAGCACGCCTTTTCTCGATTGAATTGGGGCCTCAAATACTGGGTATTATGAGTTGGCTTCGTGAAGGATACTCCATGTCTTCCCGAAAAGGTTTCAGAAGACTGACATGGAAGACGGGATGGATTTTCCACCAAGTTGGGGTATCCACCCAGTATGCAACTTTCCCAATGCGCCTTTCAATGGACAAGGGTCCAATTTGCAATAGGCGAGGGTCATGGACCCCTGCAAACAAGTACCCCTTTGGAATTTTGACCATCACCTTGTCTCCTACTTGGTATTCAGCAAAGCGACGATTTTGATCAGCATGCCTCTTCATCCGCTTTTGGGCTTTGACAAGATACTCTACACTATCTCCAAATTTCGCTTCCATTCTTTTGAGAAGCTAGTAGCTCGAGAAGATTTTTACATGTTTGGTGCATCCATGGCGTGTGGGAGTAGTGGTTGTTGTCTGGTAACAATTTCAAAAGCGCTTTTGTCTGTACTAGAACTCTTTTGTGAGTTTAAGCACAGTTGAGCAGCATCCAGAAGCTTCACCCAATTCTTCTGCGATCCGGTTACAATGTGGCGGAGATATTCCTCTAGTATGCCATTGAATCACTCGGTTTTGACCCGAGGCACTTAAAGAGTTGGGTCCAAAAGTTGCTAGTGAAGCGTGAGTCAAAATCACTAAGGATGTCTTTAGGCAGGCCCCAATATTTGATGACATGAGAGAAGAAGAGTCGAGCTATATCTTCTACTGATATGTATTGTGGGGCTGCTATAAAGGTAGCATACTTGGAAAACCGATCCACCACAATGAAAATAGTTGTGAGATCTCCGATCTTGGGCAATCCGGTGATAAAATTAAGGGAAACTCTTTACCAAGGTCTCTTTAGGACAGCTACTGGTCCCAAGGGTCCTGCTTGTGTCAAACGGTCCGACTTGTCCTTATGGCAGACAAGTCTTCCCATACTGAGCGATGTCATCAGCCATTTGAGGCCAATAATATGCACGAGGAAGTAATTCCATGGTGCGTTCTTCACTGGGATGGCCGGCCCACAAAGTATCGTGACATTCCGCTAGAAGAGTCCTTCGCAGATCTCCTCCTTTAAGAACATAAAGTCGGTTCCCTTTCACTTTTAGGAAACCATCTTACATGTAGAACTGGCGAGTCTTGCCATGTCCTACCAAATCAACCAAATACTGTTCAGCAGGATCCTTGATGAGTAGATCTGGTATCTGGTCTTTTATGGTGGTGGCTACTTCGTTCCCCTTTAGGGTGGCGAGTCAGCACACTGATGCTAGATCAGCTCTCCGACTGAGTGCATCAGCAACATGATTAGTCTTCCCACTTTGGTACTCCAGGTTGAAGTGAAATTCCGCTAGGAGTTTCTGCCACCTCGCCTGTCGACCATTCAGCTTCGGCTGGGTCATGAAATGGCTAACAACTGTGTTGTTTGTCTTCACCACGAATTGGGTTCACAGTAGATAGTGCCTCCAAAGGTGTAAGCAACATAGGAAAACCATTAATTCTTTTTCTTGGGTGGCATAGTGATGCTCTGCATCCTTCAGCTTATGGCTCTCGTACGCTATAGGATGCCCATCTTGTAGCAAGACTCCGCCAAGGGCATAATTGGAGGCATCCGTTTGTACCACAAATGGCTTGGCCAAATCAGGGAGGGCCAAGATGGGCTACTAGACATAGCCACTTTCCACGTGTTGAAGGCCTCCACTCGCCTGGGTCCCCAATCCCAAGGCGTGACCTTTTTGAGGAGTTCTGTCAATGGCACTGCGATGAGGGAGTAATTTTTTACATATCACCGATAGAAGTGCATACGCCAAGGAACGCCCTCAAGGCGTGGATATCCTTAGGCGGCAGCCAATCTGTGATAGCATGAATCTTTTGATGGTTCATCTTGATCCGCCCTTCCTCGATGACATGTTCGAGGGAGTCAATCTTTTTTTTTGAGCCAAGGAGCACTTGGATAGCTTCGCATATAATTCCTTCTCCCGCAATCGGGATAGGACCTTCCACAAGTGCTCCGGGTGTTCTTCCAGTGTTTGGCTATATACCACAATGTCATCCAAGTAGACCACTACGAATTCGTCAATGTACTCTCGAAAGACTTGGTTCATCAAGGTGCAAAATATGGCTTGAGCGTTAGTTAAGTCGAATGGCATAACCAGCAAGTCGTACAACCCATATCTTGTCACAGAGGTCGTCTTGCATTCATCACCCTCTGCAATCTGAACTTGCCAATAACTTGTCTTCAGGTCTATTTTGGAGAACACCGTCACACCACCCAGTCTATCGAAAAAGTTTTCCATTAGCGAAATACGATACTTGTTCTTCACGGTGATTTTTTTAGAGCCCGATAATCGACATAGAGTCGTAGGCTGCCATCATGTTTCTTTTGGAATAGAACAAGGGACCCGTATGGGGACTTGGAGGGCACGATGATCCTTGTGTCTAGCATTTCCGTCAACTATCTCTGAAGCTTGGTGAGTTCGGATTTTGACATTCTATAAGGCGCCCGGGCGGGTGGCTTCGCACCCGACACCAACTCAATCTCATGGTCCATAGTGCTCCTAGGCAGGAGGCGCTTTGGCATGTCCTATGGCATGACGTCTTCAAACTCCAGTAGCAGCTCCTTCACTGGTGCAAGAATGGAACCCGAGGAGCGTTCTATATCTTCAATGCAGAGGGTAGCCAGGAACATAGGTTCATTTCTTTTGACCCCCTTCTTCAACTGCAAGGCCGAGATGTTCTCAGCGGACTTTTTCATGGGCATGCACGGGATAATACAGGGCTTGGCCCCGTTTGTTCCAATCATTAGTAACATGTCTGCACATGGTACGGGCATGGTGTTGGTTTGCCTCAGGAACTCCAATCCAACTATCAACTCGAAGTCATCTATGATCACCATGCGCAGGTTGAATTTTCCTTCATAAAGGCCAAGCTTCACTGGTACTTCTTTGGCTATTCCACCCACTGGATCAGGAGGTGAGTAGATAGTCTTAACATATCCTCTACCCTTTCCTACAACTAGACCAAGGCGCTCCACTTGAGCCGAGGCGAAGTAGTTATGGTTAGCACCCGTGTCTATCATCGCCCTGATGGGCTTGCTATTTACCCTCATCTCGACGAACATTAAGGTCCTCTATTGTTTAAGAGGGGTCCTCTCATCTGCCTTCTTTTTCCCTTTCTAGTAATTGGGCAGGGTTCCTTCTTCTTATGGATACCAGCATTACTTCCCGCTAAGGCTCAGAAATAGAGCCAACAATTGCATTGAAGGAAACTACTGGTTTGGTTTGGTCCACATCATCTGCGTCATCATCCATCCATCATCTAAAGCCTGATAGGTGTTTATCTGTGAATGTGGGCATTCATTATTCCAATGTGGTCCGCCGCAATGACGACATCATGAATGGGGTTTTCTCCCCCGATCATTGTTGTTCAACACAGCACTATTGCTGCCTGAGGAAGGAGCCTTAGATTTGGTTGCACTCTGATCTCCTCCAATTCTGCTAGGGCCACCATTTCTAGGTTGGCCCCCTTTGTATCATGCTCAGAAAGGCGATTGATGCCTATCCTTCTGAGCTTCCTCTTGATAGTCCCCAAGGCATTCCACTGCTTAGATCTTTAGGGTATCTACCCTTTGTCTTTGCAGCTCCATAAGAGCATAAGTTTTCAACCCTTCCAGGAATGTGAAGAGTTTTTCTTTGTCCCCCATGTCACGTATGTTTAGCATGAGCGCGGAGAATTCTCGCACGTAATCCTGCAGTGATTTGGTCTGGCGGAGCTCCCTTAGCTTTCTTCTTGCATTGTACTCAACATTTTCGGGGAAGAACTGTAGGTGTATGGTTGCCTTCAGTTCTGCCCATGTCTCGAGAGCATATTCACCGGCCTTATGGTTTCATACCTCACCCGCCACCAGAGTTTAGCATCACCTTGAAGATACATGGCATCGGTTGCTACCTTCTATGCTTCTTTTAGGCCCCCCACATTATCGAAGTACTATTCGATATCAAAGATGAAGTTTTCCACTTCATTGGCATTCCGAGCTCCATTGTATGGCTTTGGCTCATGAATTTTCAGTTTTAGTGCCGCGGGGGCGTGGTTCACAGCACCCCCGATTTGGTTTCCGCCTCCTCGAAGCACACCTTGTAAAGCAGCATTGACAATATTGAGCTGGCCTATCAAGTTGTCTATAGTTTGTTGCATGACACTCACCCTGTCTGCCTTTTTTGCCCTGTAGGCTAAATCCTCAGCAAGCTCCTGTTGGAGGCCCCCTAATTTACCAAAAAGTTTGGTTGCCTCTGTGGCTGCCGTTTGCCGGTCTCCCTCAGAGTCGCGACTAATGTTTTCTATGTCAACTTTGCCTGGAGCATTCTGCGGTCCAGGTCATCCAACCTTTGTACTAGTCTGGTTCTTAGTTCGGGCATTGTATCCACGATGTGCCGTAATACGTCCACCGTCTCCTCGATGACCGCAATGCAGTTCCCATGATTCACCATGGTCAGAAATGGTGGTAGTGGCAATGTGTTCCCTCGTTCGATCTCGAGCCTAAGCTCTAATACCAATTGTTATGCGGCGCTTTCTTGAGATTCCTTTGAAGGGCGACGTAAGACTAAGCAACTGATGTCAGTGCAGTTACTGATGTAAGACGAGATTGTCAGTGTCGTACGCGAAAACTAATGTCAAGAGCACCTGAGAGAACATAAATGATAATTGAGAATGAAAGAAAGCTTGATTGCATCAATGAAAGCTACTACAGAAAAGCAACATGGTGTCGAGGGGGAGAAACACCAGTACAAAGAATTGTTTGCTTGCTAGAAAGTGTGATTACTCCCCCTAATAGTGCTTAAAAAATAAACCAAAGTTACAAGACTTGACCTAACTAAGCTAGAGAATCATAATGGAAGTACATGAAATAAAAGTGCTCTATATTTACAATGAAAAGGACTTAGTTTTATACAAGGTAGAAACAAGTCCGTTGTCACCAACCTTGTCTTTGGCATCATGGTCTGCGCGCACGGCCTTTTCTACGCTCATGGTGCTATTGGCATCTGCTTGCAGCTGGGTGTTGGCGAGGGTTATCGGTGGAGCGACAGAAGAACATGTGCGCTTGTCACTTGGTGCAGCCAAGATCACGGGGCCGTCCATGGCGCTAGGCGTTGGGAGGCTTTCTAGGACGCCATGGGGCGCGTCCAAGGGTCATGTGTCATGGCTGGAAAGCCGCCCATGACATATATCATGAATTACCATGCATTTATACACTTTAATTATGAGAATTTAGAGAAACAATTTGGGGTTTTGCTTACAACTTAAAAGGATGAATTTTGGGGATTTGAGAGTCAATTTAGACTTGGTCTTGGAATCTAGTCATATATTTAGACTCATGGGGTTATAGATAGTTGGGATCTACCCTTTAACTTGAATTTTCATTATGTGGGCCCAAGTTGAATTTTATTGACCATTTGGGAATTGAATAAAGATTGAAGCTTATTATTTGGAATTGATTTCTATGAATTTGTTTGATGTTATTGTGTTATTTTGGGCTATATTCGAGCCGATTGGAGATAATTTATAAGAAAAATGCCTTCTTGGAGTATTGATTTTGCTCGTTTGGGGTAAGTTTCTTGCCTAATCTTGTGTGGGAGAATACCCCTTAGGATGTGACCTTATTTGTCTAATTGCAATGTTTAAAAATTGATGTATATGCGAGGTGACAAGCATATACGCTGGTGCTATGCATGATTTTATTTGGACTTTAGGCTTCTAGTATGCACTGTTGGACTGTATACTTCTTATGATCTTTGTTTAGATCATTTGTATGATTCTATGGACTTCTTGCATTATGTTAGAGACCATGTATATGCTTTGATATCCTGCTTGAGCATGATACTTGTTATAATATGGCTTACCTGTCTAATCTGAGTTCTAGTTGTAAACTTCGCACATGCATACCTTTGTATGCAATTTTTCTCAGTCCATTAGTATGTGATTTGATACATGTTATTCATATACATATATTCTTGTATATACTTTCTGTGATGTAGACTGATTTGAGAGCGCGTGATTTGTCTGTGTGGATTATATGATTATGCACGTGAGTTATTCGTGTAGCGTGTGGATAATGATCCATCCCTCTAAGGTCATCCTCTCGTATTTTTCCTTGATGACATACACACGGATTATGGAAATTAACCAGTGTTTAGACTTTGTGTATCTTCTCTATATGCAAGCTCTTTGGATGTATACATGATTTTATTGCATATATTCTCTATATGCTAGCCTTGGAATTCATGTCTTTTATATGTATCTTCTCTATATGCCGATTTAGTTTGTGTAATAATTCATGTACATATATTCTCTATATGTGAACTCGGTAGAACTTGATTTGTTATTCTTGCATATATTCTCTTTATATTGAAGTGTTAGCTTGATATTATGCCTAAATTCTAGTATTGTTGATGTGTACATATTTTCATGAACTATACATGTTTGATTAGTGAGTATCATTGACCATTCTCGCCACTACCTCACTGAGGTTAGTCATGATAGTTACTAAGTACATGTGGTTGATTGTACTCATACTACTCTTTGGATATTATTCTATAGATCCAAGTATGGGACCTAACTGAGTGTTGAGTTCGGTTGTTGTTGTTGTTGAGACACGAGGTAGATTTGCATCCCGACCGCAGTCCCTGGCATCTCTTTCTATCTTTCATTATTGTTGTTTCTTCACACAATATATTGTAAATATCATCTATATAGCCTAATATCAACACCCCACACTTAAATCAATTCTAGTCCTCTAGCAATCCACCACACTCTATCAAAGTTCCTTCCCTAAGCTTTTCCCTTAACGACTCACACCTTGAACAATTTACCAAGTTGCACCTAGTAGAGAGCGCCGTCCTGCAAATAGGCGATAATTCGATTGCACCAATCCTAAGTTAAGCTTACCGATTTTACCTCGGTTTGGTCTAATGATGAGTTTAGGAGGTGAACTATGTTTTTATCCCCAGTCGTGATTCTTTTGGTAGCAGCGGCCAATTTGGCGAGGTCGTCTGCTTCTGCATCTTTCGCACGCGTGATCTGGTTGAGCTGGCATTCATCAAACTCGTGTAGCAGCTTACAAATCTTGGTCTAATATTTTTGCAACCTTTGTTCTTTGATTTGGAATGTCCCTATGGCTTGGACTATGATCTTGGAATTAGAGCAGAGCTTCAACCGCTTCACTCCATACTTGAGTGCTTGCCTCAATCCTGCAATTACGGCCTCATACTTGGCCTTGTTGTTAGTCATATCTGGGCATCTT